GCTCGACCACGCCAACCATCGAACACGGAGCTGCACCACTGCTCGACGCATCTCCCTCTGATTTCGACACAGTCTTCGACGACGCTGGCTTCTCCTTGCGCGGCTGGTGGTCTCGACAACGACGCTCGCTGTCAGACTTCCCGCGGATTCCTCTCTGATCGTTGTTGGACTCGTCGCGATCAAGGCAGTCGTACGAGAGATGGTCAGGGTCTTCTCAAACGTAGTAGCGGCGACCTCCTCGACGCGAACCACTGCTTCCGCGATCATTGCACTTCGCCGACTTCCCGCGGTCGGCGTTCTCCATAGACTTGGTGTTCGACGACTTTCCGCCACTACCTCCACCTCTGCCCAACTTTCCACGCTACCCCGTCTGACGTCCCTGCTTCGTAAGAGCAACGTAGTTGGCCCGCGGAAGGAGCTCTGAAGACCGCTCAGACTCCTGCATGAACTCATCCTGGATGATGTGACTCGAAAGCAAATCCTCGTTCAGAGTCTCGCGCGTGCCGGGAATTATCAACATCCGGCGCATCAGATTGTAGCTTGATGGGAGGCTGTTGATGACATGCGTGACATACGACGCCACCGAGTACTTGAAGCCAGCCATTCGCAGGTCGGCCAAAATTCGCCGCGCTTGATTGCAGTACTCGGTCGCCGATTCCTGCTCGCCCATGCGAATGGTGGCCAATCTCTAGGCTGATGTAGAGGTCATCGGTCGCTTTGTAGGTGCGCATGATGTACTGCCACGCTTGGTTGCTGGCGTCCACACGAAGCCTGCATGGCTTTAACGCGACTTGCACCAGTGGCGAACAGCACCGCGAAAGGACCATGAATGTCAGAAGATGAGCGACGCGAAATTCCGCTCACAATTCAGAGTCGTCTTCGTCCGGCGTCTCCACCTTGCCGTCAACGAACTTCTTCAATCCGGCGATCTCCAGCTAAGGCTCGATGGATTCGATCCATGTGATTAAATCGTGGCGTCCTTCGAGCAGCTTCGGCACAGCGATCTTGTCCGGCAAAAATTTGAAGTAGCCGTACGCCGACACGACGCGTGGGTCGCCGAAATTGGCCTAACTCCACTCCGGTGAGGAGAATGACGTCGACCATCGGTGTTGCCGTTTGAGCTGCCTGCAGCCGCCGTCGACGGCAGCACTTGCACCTGCACTCCGCCAACGCCAACGTCGGCAGCCCGAATCACTCCCCGAACCCTCGTGCTTCCACCACCGACAACATTGCCGCCGTCACCTTCGTTGTGCACGGGTCGGGGAGAGGCGGACGCGTCGTCCGCTTCAGCACCGGGAGGGGGATGCTCACGCGCCTACTGCGCACGAGTTCCAAGGAGCAGAATATCCAAGTCCGCCTCGCCGTACCCGCCAGCCTCGTGGCATGCCCGAACAGCATCCAACCGCGCCTGCAGAATATCTTGTACTCCTGCATCGACCCCTTGGTCGTCCATGGCGGTCTAGATGGTTGCCGGCCTAGAACGACTTAGGTATGGAGCGAAAAGTTGTCTAATCTGAAGGCTCTAACGCAGGGTCGTTCCCCGCTCACCGCACCATGCGGAGAGTCACCCTACAACGGGAGTGGACTACGGAGGAGGGCACGGGGTTGTGCGGGTGATCGTAGCGCTCTAACAGCGTTCTTACTACTTGCTGTTTTCACAGAGAAATTTGGCCAGAGTTTCCACTAAGGAATTAAAAAGAACATTGAGAAATTGAGAATTAGTGTACACAAAATGAGGCATGCAAGTGATATGACTATAATGGCATTGGAACCCCTAGCAAGCATTCTGCAAGGCGAATTGCCAGCATTGCATCAGAGCGATTTGCCAACGCTGCAGCAGGGCGGCCTGCCAGCGTAGCAGAAGGGCGACATGCCAGCGCTGCCGTAGGGCGGCCTGCCAGAGCTGCATTCGCAGGTGAATATCTGCGCAGGTGTGCATCTGCCGAGTAGTGTCAGAATGTTATAATTGTCTAGCTTGCAGTGGGGTACTCCATAGTGAGTACAGCCCAATTAGGGTTTGCTATATGTATCCAACTGCTTGCTAGTGAAACCCCTCCTTTCTTCATTTCTCGTTTCTACTGCTTAATCTTGACAAGTAGGTGCAGGTAGACGGTTGCACCGTCAGAGATATTGCGCAGATGCCAGGTAGAAAACGTTCCGACGCTTTCACCAGATGTCCACCGTCGAGCACGTAATGCCATTCCGCAGGTGAAATATTGCTAAGAACCACCTGAGCAAATTTTGCATGCCTTCGTAGAGTTCCGCAGTCGCGAAAATTCGGCCGACCAGTTCGCCGAGACAAGGCTCGCCGAACGGCGCCCTTCGATCAGAGAACGAGGCTCCTCAGAAAGCACTCCGCCCGTCAGAGATCGCGCGACTCACTAGCAGATCAGAGGACGAGCTCGTCAAACAGCACCCCGTCGACCAGAGCTCGTCGATGGGAATCAGAGGACCACCTCCTCGAAAACCCATCGCGGTTTCAGAGGACGGGCTGATCCAATGCAACGATCACTTCGTTGAATTCACCACGCCGTCGCAGAGAATGCCTGCGCCCAAGGGAGGGCGGGGCCTTTCACTTCGAAGCTATTGTACAGCCCGGCACACAACAAATCAAGCGGATCATTCTGTTTCCGGTCCACGGCTGGTCTGCCACATGGGTCCGTCGGACCATCCGGACCAGGCGTGCACATTTTAGCATCAAATCGGATCGGGGCGGACCTGTCACGTGAGACACCCTCTAATCGTCAAACATAGTGGCGAAAGATGGGTGGTAAGGACGTGGTGCAGATCGAGGCGAACTCAGATTGATTTCTTCGATTTGAACAATCTAAGATTTCCGAGAAGCCCCAGGGGATTTTTTATAGCGATTGGGGGCAATCTCTCGATCGCAATCGATGTCTCGAATGATTGCAATCAATTGCCTCGATCGGATGCAATCGATTGCGTTGGAACGCAATTTATCGGTTGTGTCAGATCGGACAGCCCGACGACACACCCAATTAGTAACAAACTTCGATTCTAGTCACTGCAACATTGTGTGACGACACACGTAATTAGCAAAACGGGCATAACATTGTAATCGCGCGGCACCAAACTTCGCTAGGCCTCGCAAACTTTGTGTAAAAGGGATGTGTGTCTAGCCTGGAACCCCTATTTTTGGTTCTGACAGTCTTCCCCTAAATTCTTTCGTCAGATCTTACGGCGCGGGATGCAATGGCAGATCGCGGCAGATCGAAGCATTCCCACCCGTCCCCTTTCGATCCTATCCAATCGAATACCAATTGCCTTGGATCGTCTTGATCTGCATCACGTCCTAATGACGTGTACCTATTTGCCTCTGATAGGTTCTAATCCGGTTGGGTCGGATGTGATCGGGTTGCTTGTGATTGCATTGCCCGCGCCGCCTAATGACAGACGAAATTCCTAGAAAATTCGAAGCGTCAGCAACCTCATCATATGCAATCGTGTCACTTTCCTGATTTTTTTTTTTCCCCTTTCCCCACCATTTCTTCTCGAGCCTCCAAGTGCTAATTGTGGTGCAACTTCACATCCATCTCATTTCCCCCATCACCCCCCGGAATTGAGTGTTGGCCCCGCCCTCACTTGGGCAACGCAGACGACTTGGTCGGATGTACGGGAGAAGCAGCAGACCGTTCACAGTGGGAGAGCTGCTCGACGTGCTTCCTCGAGCTGCAGGGGACCACTGTGGTGTTGCTCTCGACCAGGGAGCTCGACAGTTGCAGCTGACTAGTCTGGGCGACGGGTGGGCCATCGACCAGGAGGAGCAGTTCGACCGGGAGGCCGACGGAGCAGTTCGTCGACCTGACAAGTGAGCAGCGGTCGACGAGGGGAGCTCGACGACAACAGCTAACAGTTCTAGTTGATGGAAGGGGTCCGTCGACCAGGGGGTAGCTCGATAGGAGCTGTGGTTGACCAGAGGCACTTGGTGGTCGACCAAAAGCACCTGGTGGTCGACCAGAAGCACCTGGTGGTCGACCAAAGGCACCTGGTGGTCGACCAGGTCGACCGCGTAACCTGCTCGGCGAGTTTCACGCGAACGTAGTCAAGGTCGCAGTGACAAAGGCGACTTTGGGCTAGTATCTCGAAGTCGATGTGGCTCGTCAGGCGTAGACAACAGCCGACGGATGCACAATGGTGCAAGTCGGGCCAATCGTCTGCGCGCACCTGCGAGCGTGCGCACTGCTGTCTTCTACGGGGCAACGCTGGATAGCCGCTCTACTGCAGTATTGGCACGCCGTCGACCTGCAGTATCTGCAGGTCGCCTTTCTGCAGTGCTGGCGCAGCTCCTCTACGCAACGCTGGCAGGCGGTCGACCAAGCTATGCTAGCGGTCAACCAGGCTGGCTGTAGAGTTGATAGGTCCCTGATGTAGTCATTTCTGTCATTGCTTGTTTAATCATTCTGTAATTTCGACTTTGCTAGTGAAAACTCTTGCCGATTTCTCCCGTGAATGTGCAAGCACTAAGGAACTAAGAAAAGCTACGATCACTCCTAGTAGTTCGTGCCAACCCCCGTAGTCTAGCTCACTACCGTTGTAGAGTGTCTCTCTACAATCTCCCTACTCTCGCCTTGCATCTGCATTATCATTCTCCTCCCAGTCAGCTGAATCCTCCACTCCCTCTGAAGCCGCTCCAACTCAGACTCTACCCTTTCCTCCTCTCCAGATTCTCCCCAGAAGTGGCTTGGTCCGCCACACTCCTCAGTAAAAACACATTGCCGAGCGAGCCTAATTTAGGGTATTGCCTCATCAAACCTTCCGAAGCTTCTTTGACAGAGTTTGCTGATGGCTCGATGCCAAGGGGTTTGCTGATACCATGCCACTAGGGGTTTGCTAATACCATGCCTAAGATGAAGGTCCGACCAGGCCATGTGGATATTTGGCTACACTCGGTGAAGGTCCGGCTAGACCATAGGGCTTGAATTCTATGAAAGACGCTTGTCTGGTTGCAGCTGTAGCGGTGTGAAGAGGCTCCAACTCTCCTATGCCTGCCCCCTTTCTTCTTCTTCTTCTTCTTCCTCCTCCTCCTCCTCCTCCTCCTCCTCATCCTCCTCCTCCTCCTCCTCCTCCTCCTCCTCCTCCTCCTCCTCCTCTTCCTCCTCCTCCTCCTCCTCCTCCACCTCCACCACCACCTCCACCAAGTAAAATTTCCAGCTGACTAACACGCCTCTGTGCACCTATACCTGTGAATGCTGGCAACGATCCTCATCAACAGCATCTACTCCAAGCCTCACGCCCAAACTGATACTGTACCCTGCTCTTGATGGTGTAACTACTGCAACGCCAGCATTAGCAGCACCTGCTCCAAGCCTCACACCAGAAATGGCACTGTACCCTTCTCCAGATGCCGCTCCTACAATAGCGCCAACATTAACTCCAGAAGCAACAGCAAATCCAGGACCGGTAGCCAAACCAAAGCTGGCAGCCACCAAACCAGCATACATTACCAAGCCTAATCTGGCATGAGAGGACCGTACATCACCACTCAAACCAGCAGTTTCAATAATAGTACCACACGTAGAAGCAGTTGCTGCCGCAATAGCCAAAGCAGAGGAGACAGTAGCACCGGAAGAAGCAGTTTCCACTCTGCTTGTCCTTCCTTGTAGGTCTATTGCTTTGCTAGACCATTTGAAGGGAAAGGGAGCTGGGGGCTTGAGTGGTGAAGCCCTGGCAACAGCAGCACCGGGGAGCAAAGCAGCAAATGCACCACCTGAGGCAGCAAAGATAGGATAACCACCAGCAGCACGAGCAGCAGCGCTCACACCAGCACCAGCCACAGCAGCGGAAGTGGTAGCATTGAGGCTAGAAAAAGCAGTCGCATCATGGCTGAAACTGTTCAAGGGGTGCGTGTGTGAAGCACCAGCTCCACGAGCAACACCAACAACCCCACCAGCACCACCAGCACCAGCAACAGTAGCAACATGGGGGAGCGATGCAGCTGAACCAACAAAATCACAAGCATCACCAGCGGCACGTACATCACTAGCGGCACTTACATCACCTGCAGCACCAGGGGAAGCAGCAGCTGTGAGACTGGAAGAGGCCTTGGCATCATGGCTGAAACTGTACAGGGGGTGCATATGTGCAGCACCAGCAGCACCACCAGCACTAGCCGCACTATAAGGCACAGAGGCAGCGAGGCTGGAAAAATCCATGCCATCACTTTTAGAATTGTGCAATGGGTGGATTCATGAGGCACCATCACCACCAGTGCCAGCATCGCAGCAACGTCAGTAGCAACATCCACTTAAAAAAATAGTAGAAGCAGAAGTAGCACCGCAAGTAGAAGCAGCAGGATCAGCCGGTGATTGAAAACAAGTTCCAGGGAGCTGTAGCTGCAACCCTAGCGACTGTGCTTCTGGCTCTGACTCTGTTGCACTCAACAGTTGTGCAGCAGTGATCTAGTGTGCTCCAGCCAGCAGATTTCTTGGCTGATTTTCAGGCAAGGACCAGGCTGACTGTGCTGCAGCCACCAACCTTGCTGCAGCCACCGAGTCTGTTGCAGCCGCCGTGAGTACCCCGGGTGAATCCGCCTATGCGCCAAGTGTGTGAGGCAGCACTGTTATCTGGAGGCTGGTTTTTGCCTCGACGCATGTGGGGAGGCAGATAAAGAGAGAGAGAGAGAGAGAGAGAGAGAGAGAGAGAGAGAGAGAGAGAGAGAGAGAGAGAGAGAGAGAGAGAGAGAGAGAGAGAGAGATGGCCTAGTCTAGTCCTTAGCCGTTTTAGGACTGCTCCTCTAGGATCCAGTCCTTAGCCGTTTTTAGAGCAGTTTTCCTAGTATAAAGTCCCTAGATCTAGCCCTTTGAGCTCATTCTTCACGTGGTGAGTCCAGTTCACTCTCCAAAACCGGCGGCTCGCGCCGGCCGCCTTCGGCGGCCGCGTGAGAGGGGAGGCAAGGAAAAGAGATGACAAGTACTATAAAAACAAGTGTCACAACACGCAGAGGTAGCATCCTACAACAACAGCAACACCCCCGGGCGTGCCTACACCGCCATGGTGAAGCCCAAAGCCAGGCCTGCCACACAGGGGGCCGGCAAGGGGAAGGCACCCGCTACTCAACCAGGATCCAACAAAGCCTCCCGTCCAACCAGCGTAGGACGGACGCGGCGGCGGCTACAAGGTCGAGCGGGTCCTGCTGGGCAGACTCGGCAAGCCGCGCCAAAGCTCCAGGACCGGGCCCGAGGGCAGCCCCAGGGGATCCTGGCATAAAGCCAATCAGAGGGAGGTAATGCTGCAACTCCTCCGCTGCCGACACTGCCGCCGACTGCTCCGCTGGCTGCATCGCCTCGATCTGCACCTCCTGCTACACCAGGGTCACGTGAAGCTGGTCGAGCACATATGACAGGAGCGTCAAGCAAGTCCCCACGTGCATCACGCGCTGCTCGACGAGAGTTGGAGGCTCACCAGGAACCACGGCAGGAGGAGGAGGCGGGGCAAGAGGCGTCACCGGCCCCCATGGGTGCTGCACAGGGGTTCCGCCGTACGAATACCGATGGAACGACGACGGGCCTGGTACTGACGGAGGGTTTCCGGCGTGCAGGGGAGGAGATGGAGGAGCATGGTACACCGAGGAGCAATGCTGCTGCGGACGGAGGGGCAAAGGAAATCGACGGAGCGGAGATTGAGCTGGCGGCTGCTGTGCTACCCAGGATGGCGGCTGCGGGGAAGTCTGTGGTTGCTGATGCTGTGGTGCCTGCAGTCCTGCTGTCTGCTGGCGCTTCTGCCGCTGCCTTTGACGGCGGCTCAATTTCACCCTCTGCCATCCCACGGGTTGCACAGGCGGAGGCTGAGGAGACGAGGTTGGGCGCGGATCCGGAACAGACCGCGGAGGTGGCGTTGTCCGCGTTGCCAGCACCGGTGTCGCCGGCTGTGCTGGCGGCGGCGGTGTCTGCTGCGACTGGGGAGCAGGGCGACGCCCCGACGGCGGAAGGCGCGACGACTGCCGCTGCGTGCGCCGGAATGCCTGTTGCTGGCGCGGCCTCAAACAGGCAGGAGCACGGCCATGCGGAGGGAGAGATTCCACGACCCTCGAACGTCGTCTCTTCCGGCGCAGCTAGGCGCGCGGCGGTTTACTCTCTGGCGCGCGCCCCGAGGCGTGCCGCCCCTTCTCTTCCTGGCGCGCCAGCCCCGCTGGACCTGCGCGCCGCACCCCGTCGACCCTCGCATCGCCTCAGGGGACCCGCGCGCCACCCCCGTCGACCCTCGCGTCGCCCCCGGGGACCCGCGCGCCACCCCTGGAGCCGTGCGCGACCCCCCCGCTGCCTCGTCGCGGCGCCCTGGAGAGCCGCGCGCGGCCCCTCGCTGCCCCGTGGTGGCGCCCTGGGGGCCGCGCGCCGTCCCCCTCGCCGTCCCCCGCGCTCCTACCCCGTGCCACCCGTTTTAGGGTTTGGGGGTGGGGAGTGTGGGGCTGGCGGTTGTGGGGGTGCCGGTTGTGTACGCCGTCCCCTACTCCTCCTCCTCCTCCGTCTCCCGCTGCTGCAGCTGCCGCTCAGGGGGGTGGGTGTGTGGGAGCCGAAGGAGTGGTACTAGGAGGGTGTCGTGGGAGTGGAGCTAGGGGTGCAGCAGGGGGTGTGTGATAAGGGCGTGGGGCAGCTGGGGGGGGGTTGAGTGGAGGCAGCCGTCGTGTCGTCAGCAGCGCCAGTAGTCCGGAGGCTACAATCTCCGGTAGTCGCCAGTCGCCTGTGGGTCAGTTGCTCCAGTCAGGAGGCTACAATCTCCGCGGAGCCAGTTACTCCTGTAGTCCGGGCCTTTGCTTCGGTAGCCACTGAGCCAGCAGCTCCTGTGTGTCTGCAGCTTCAGCAGTCGCCTCCCATCTTCTCGCCCCCACAGTCTCTCCTCCTCCTCACTTGCCCTCTGTGATAGCCTCTAGTTTTGCTTGCAATTGTGAACCTTCTCTATGACTGCGTGCTCTGCTGATTACACCCCACTTTGGCTATGGGGGTGTGTCAGAATGTTGTATTTGTCTAGCCTGCAGTGGGGTACTCTATAGCGAGTACAGCCCAATCTAGGGTTTCCTATATGTACTCAACTGCTTGCTAGTGCAACCCCTCTTTTCTTGTTCTAAACTTTCTGCTCGTTCTTCTGACAGCACGAGCCCCCTCGCCGACCCAAACTCTGCGACGCTAGCCGCCCTGCGAGCGAAACACCCGTCCTCTAGCGCTCCAACACCAGCCTGGGTTACCGGGATAACTGACTCCGAGCTCAGTATCCCACTCGAGGCCCTACGCGAAATCCTCGCGAAATGCCCAAACGGGGTAGGAGCAGGGCCCTCAGGTTGCTGTTTTGAGCACCTGAGAGACCCAGCCCTGGCGAATGAGGAGATCCTACTGCTGCTTGCGAACGTGGTCAATCGCCTCGCCAGCTCTTTCCAGAGCCAACCGGTCCGCGACCTTCTTCTACCCTCTCGGTGTCAAACATACATGACATAGTCTGTGTAGGCTGTAGTGGGGTAGACCATATGGGGTACAACACTGCTAGGTTTTCCTACTTGTACCAATCTCCTTGCTAGTTCAGTCATTCCTTGTTCTGTCATTCTCACATGGTTTCAGAGCAGGTTCCCTAGTGGGACCGGTTTTTTTTTAGGGCCCACCACAAACTTTTTTTTCTGCCCTGCCCGAATCGCACTGTCGTGCCTGCCTGCCCTGTCACGTGCCTTGCGCCTGACTACCCGCGCCCTCGAGCGCCTGCCTACCCGCGCCCTTGAGCGCCTGCCTACCCGCGCCCTCGAGCGCCACCCTACCGCCCTGCCCTGCAGGCCGAGCGCGGGCCTGCCCTAAACACGTGCAGCCACCCCTGGACCCCGCGGCGCGGCCCCTGGACCCCGCGACGCGTCGCCCTGCTCGTCGCGACGCCTCTGCGGGACCCGGGCGTCGCCCCTGCCTCGTCGCGACGCCCCTGCGGGACTTGCGCGTCCCCCCCGCCTCGTCGCGTCGTCCCTGCGGGACCCGCGCGTCGCCCCCGCCTCGTCGCGACGCCCCTGCAGGACCCGCGAGGCGCGGCTCCTGCGCGTCGCGCCGCCCCAACGGGACCCGGGCGTCGCCCCCGCTCGTCGCGACGCACCTGCGAAACCCGCGCGGCGTCGCCCCTGCCCGCCGCAGCGCCCTGCCCTACCCCGCGCCCGCCCTTTGGACGGCCGCCCCTGCCCCGCCTTGCAGCAGCTGCCGTCGCGGCCCTGCCCCGCCCTACAGCAGCGGCCGTAGCAGACTGCCCAGCCCTGCAGCAGCTGCCGTCGCGGACTGCCCCGCCCTGCAGCAGCTGCCGTCGCGGCCCTGCCCCGCCCTGCAGCAGCTGCCGTCGCGGCCCCGCCCCACCCTGCAGCAGCGGCCGTCGCGGCCCTGTCCCCACCCTGCAGCAGCTGCCGTCGCGGCCCGGCCCCGCCCTGCAGCAGCTGCCGCGGAGCTCCCTGCCGCGGTCACGGCCCCGCCCTGCCGCTGTAGCGGCCCCGCCGTCGCCGCCGTCATGCGCCTGCCCTTCCCTCCACTGGTGAGCACTGCCCTGCACGTGCTGCTACTGCTGTTACTGCTGCTACTGCTGCTACTGCTGCTCCTGCTGCTACTGCTGCTACTGCTGCTTCTGGCGTGGCCAGATGCAGCTCCAGGGCCGTCCGCGTGAGTCCCTCACGCCCCAGCAGCTTCGTGAGTGGTACGCTAGTTGGGGTTGTCGGGGTGGCCGTAGTGGGAGTCGCCCTGGAGTGGGTAGTTCGGGAGCTTCTGGTAGTGGCCTGGTACAGCTGCAGCGTCGTCCGCGCGAGGCTCTTTGGCCCCAGCAGCTTCGTGAGTGGTACGCTCAGAGTAGAGGGTCGCTGAATTCTGCTCGCTGCTCGTACGTCACTCGCACGGGTGTCCGGACTAGTCAGCCTTGCGGGACGGTTAGTCACACAGAGTCCCGCTGCTTCGCCCATCTGAGCGACGCTTGGCGTACAGAGTTTGGCGACGACGCTGAGCTCCCCGACTGGGTGGAGCTGCTTAGGCAGAGGGTAGATATCTTTGCTCTTGACTATGATGCTATCCTCACTGTCATGAATGCATTGTCTACTAGTGCTGAGGGTGCCTGTCACCTGTGTGTGCCGCCTGACCCCGGT